CGCCGGCAGCTTCGCAACCCAGCGCTCAACCACTGCGCCACCGGGGAGGCCCTTATTGTTGTTTTTAAATGCCCAATCGACACTGCAGCAGCTTATTACCTATACCCTGGGTTAGGCCACACCCACAACCCTATGCTTGACACAGTAAGGTTTAGCTTATATAGGTTTTTCTCCTATCTATAAGTTCTGGACAAGATCATTATTGACAAATCAATAATTTGTCCTTGTCTGCCAAGAGAACTTTGGTGACTTTAGCCTCTACATGTTCAGGCATTAACAAAGTCCAGATGACTTTGTAATGACAAGAAAAACAAAAATACCCTTTTAGGCCAAATGGAAAAATATTTCAACCTGAGAGATTAAACTCTTCTTAATTTTTTTGACAGATTAGCACTATTTTTACCAAAAGTGTATATATATGCCAGATAGTAGGGAGTCTTTAGTGAGCAAAGTAGACATATTCCTCCTTTTTTTCCCCCACATTTATAGTCTAGCAGGGTGAACAATTTAAAATGAAAGTACAAGAAACTACGACAATAATAATGGAAATACAGGCAGCGCATGAAATCATGTAGCAAAACACCACAGCACATATTTTTAAGTTATATTAACTCATAGTGAGAAATATATTTACATTACAACTCAGTTTCCACATATCTATAGTAAAATAATGCAAACACATGCATGTATAGACACACCTAAAAGTAACTAAAACTGGAAAATTATACAAAACAATATTTGCCCTTACAATCTGTGACAAGCTATCTTTTTCATTCACTTCTGTTTTTCCAATTTTGAGCAACTAAAAACAATTAAACTGATTTTAGGATCCCTACAAAGGTTTTGACCTGAAGTCTGGAAAACACAGACCTATGGTATCACTTGCTAAAGACAACAAATTCTTGAGCCCCACCTAAAACTACTGAATTTGAATGCATGGATGATGGGTCCCAGAAAGCTGTATTTTAGCAGGTATCCCAGATGATTCTTAGGCATATTAAAATCTGAAAAACCTTGTTATCACTTAATATGAAATCTAAAAGATGGTCCAAGTTATGGCAGAGAGAGGTTAGAAAAACATTACTACAGGGCCTCCCCGGTGGCGCAGCGGTTGAGCGCTGGGTTACGAAGCTGCCCGCAGCCTCTGCAACGCCGGTTCGATCCCCAGCTGCTCCCCGGCCACCGGAGGAGGGTCCCACATGGCGCGCAGACCTCTCCTGCCGCCCGCTGCTCCCCTCAGCAGTGTACTTCGGTCCTTCTGCCTGCTCTGCTCCCCGCTCTGGCTCTGGTGAATCCTCTCACCCTCCCGCGCTTCTGACTGTACCCAGTGCTTATATAAATAAATAAATAAATAAATAAATCTTTAAAAAAAAAAAATTAAAAAAAAAAAAAAAAAAAGAAAAACATTACTACAGGAAGACACATACAAAGACTAGCAGGCAAAGGGGAGTATGATATGCTTAAGGAAGGTTAGGGGAACAGGAGTCTGGGGCACTAGACTAGGACAGGCAATGAATATGGAGAGGTAGGCATGGCTCATTCTACATGCTCCCTCTTTCAGTCTGTTCCATACCATTTCAAGAACAATAAACAAGTATTTAGTCTTAAAAAGAACATTTTGACATATCCCACAACACAGATATATGTTGAGGACATTATCTTACACGAAATGAACCAGTCACAAAAAGACAAACACTATATGATTTCACTCATATGAGGTGTAGAATAGTAGAATTTGCAGAGACAGAAAGTAGGGTGGTGGTTGCTAGGGGCTTAGAAAAAAGTGGAATGGAATAATGAATGGGAGTAGAATTTCAGTTTTGCAAGAAGAGTTAAAGACATGGGCTGCAGAGCAAAGTGAATATACTCAATACTACCACCCTATAGGCTTAAAAATGGTTAATATGGTATATATTTCATGATAAATGTATTTAAGAATAAAAAAAATACATGAGACCAAGAATTCTGAACTGCTGTGAACTTGACTAGCATTTTGATTGATTTCCCAATGATAATAAATTCTTCTCAATTCCAGAAACAACAGCAGATATTCTCTTTTAGGAAATCAAGGCACAAGAATTACAAGGCTCTCTTTCCTTTTGTTAAAAAAAAAAAAAAAGGTTAGCTTAACCTGTAATAAGTAGCAAAACACAATGTCTCAGTAGAAAAGAGATGAAATACCCCAATTTTTTACTACAGATCATCAACTACTCTCAGAAGGTAGTAAATATTTGTTCCTGAAAAATATTTTTGTTTAGAAAGCTTTTCCTTGTGAAGGCTTAAGGTAAATTTTGCATAAATCAGCAATCTCTTTAGTTAACAAATATTCTCATTTTTGGAGTGCCATAAAGCAATGGTTTCCAAATCTAGCATCCAGTTGTACATATGAATCCTGAGAAGTATTAAAAAATAGAGAACCCTGAATTCCAAATATACATGGAGCAGATAAGCTAACAGTGAACCAAGGACTATGTATTTTTAAAGCACCCAGGGATATTTTTATATGTAGCCTATTTGGGGAAATCACTCAATGGAAGGACAAACTCATGGTTGCCTGAAGGCATACTATGACTTCTCTCTACCCTCTCAAAATCTTTATGAAGTGATAGAACATTAAAGTATGAAAATCAGAAGAATTTCATTAGCAGACTGGAACACTAATGAATTTAAAGCACATGGAATCAGTATAACCCAAAATTACTAAACAGATTGAAATAAACAAGGTCATTACGTTGGATGGCCAGTAGAACCTCAGAATATTCCCTAGCTCAGAGACAGCGAGAGTTGGCAGCCATGAGGGTCAGTTGTCCAGCAATTACTGAAGGGTTTGGTAATAATTTGCAAGCCTCTCGCTCTCAGAGGAGAGACTCCTCAATTGTCATCAGATTGAAAATAAGGGAGAAGAAAGCACATCCTTAAAAGAAAGCCTACCTTGGTAGATATTCTTCCCTCTCTCTATACCCTACACACTCTGCACTCAGAGGTTGTACCCTCTATCCAGAATGTCGAAATACCCTTCATTTTGCTAAGGTCTACCCTTCACTTAGAGCCCAGTACAGGGGCCACCTCCCTCTGGTAAGTTTTCCTTGAGTTTTCTTGTCTCTGAATCTAGTAACTTGGTCAAAACCTAAGAAGCCTTACTGTAGTAATAGCCAATATATTTCTGTCCCTTCAAAATAGATATCTAGTTGGATATTTTAATTTGCTGGCTATCACCAAGATTTCCACAGGGAATCCTAAGAGCTGACTTTCAGCTTCACACTGCTGTTTCTACCTCTCTTGACCTATACTTCCTCTGGGTCATTGACCTGTAAAACCAGACAACTCTGTTTTTTGCCAGGTTTTGAGTGGGGCATTGAGTCTCTGAAAAGATAAGATACTTATCAGTAGAAATCATCTGACAGTCCAGCTATCTGAGATGTTTTGAGTAATGTTCACAGAAATGCTTTCAAGGCTCGTTTTCACCAATTCTCTCCCACCCCCCATATACTCTCTAAACTGTTTCTGGGATCTCATTCATCAACAGGAACAGAGCAGAAAATGTTCTTTGTCTCAAAAAGAGATTATCTGGAATCACCAGAGGAAGAAATTTCCTAATTACTTATGAACTCCTGAACCTGAAGTTCAGATCCTGTGGACCTGGAAATATTATACTCCCTAGTCATCAAAATGTGTATTTTTCTTTAAGTTATTCTCCTTATCAAGGCAAATAATAAGGTCCAGCATAGGTTGGGGGACTGTAATAGTTTGCAGCACCTTAATATATTTTTGAGACATGAGAAACAACAATCTGAGAAACTATCTTCTCAAAATAATTGCCAATAGCCTTTAAAGAGAAATTTCCTAAAGAATATTGAGTGTCCCTGTCACTGTCATTGAAAAGAAGTCCTACCTTCCCAAAAAAACAGAAAGTAAGTTGGAACAGCATTGTTTAAATTCAAAAGAAAATGAAAAGTTTTTCAGGAAACTTTAATATTTTTTTCCACAGAAGACAAAAAAAGAGAAGGATTAAGGGTATTTGCTTTGAAATAATGTCTCTATGTAAAGCTCAATGTCTGGATTCAATCTAACTTTTTGAGCTATAGTACAGGGATATGGGGTTAGCACTGAAGTCTGATGCAGGAAAAAAGTGATAAATGGAAACACACAAAAACTAAGCTGATTTTTAATAATCAGAAGCATAAATCTAGAGTCCATGAAGAGATGCACTGAATTCTTACCCTCAGACAAAACTAAATACAAAGAACAGCTTTAAAGCAAAACTAAAAAATTCAGAGGTAGTTATAAATGTAAGTTAAAACTAAGAGGCTTGGAGAAAGGAGGAGAAGGGAAGAATTAGGGAAGAAGTGGAGTCCTTTTGCATTCAAAAGTCTGAGAGCTTGTCTCAGCTTCAGTTCTGAAATCTTTCACACTGACACTAAATGAGACATCATCATATAATAAAGGATGGTATATTTCAAATCTTTGGAAAATAAAATTCATACATTTACATATTCTAATCTAGAGTCTCTTAGCAATATTAATTCTAAGCAGTATTCCAAGTTAGAAGACAGTTATGGCCTAATTTACTGAGCAAGTGGCTCAGTGACAAATATAGCCTGTTATATCAAAATTGCTTAGTAGCTAGACAAATTGCAGTTGATAATTTATGAAAGAAATTCTGATTTAACTGACTAGTGCAGTAAGTGCCAAACAAAGGACAGCAAAATATATGCTGAAATGTCCACATATATGTTTTATAACAGAGAAACTCGAAAGTATAATTAAATTAAAAAGCATATGTTATACTAATTCACCATTTTAGCATTAGAGGCACTATTACACACGAGAGCTTTGTTTTTTCCACAAAGAACTTTGTCATAAGACTGCACTATCATTTTCCAGTTTAAAATCTTCCATGTTAACAAAATTCCCCAAGGTACTTACAAATCCTAAATTAAAGCACTAAAACCCACACAATCAAGTTATTAATAAATGACAAGTTGGGAGTTTCCACTTACGTAGATATATTGTTGAAGCTGAGAAACAGACGTTGGAGGCAGGGCAAATTATCCACATCTCTCTAGAAGGAAATAGAAAGCAAAAATTTACCAGCTGAAAGAAAAAAAAATGTTATAAATGTCTTCTCGCTCAGCTGTTGAAATATATAGTCATTTCTATTTACTGCAACCTTGTTAGACCATTGATTTCTACTGGACATTGAGCTCCATTCTTCTTCACTGCAGATTAAAGGGAGGGTTTCAGTACATCTGCAGAACAAGCTGCACCACTCTCAAGGTAAAAAGGCACTGAGGAGAACAGGCAGAGATGCTGCTGCTAGCCTCTTTCAGTATGCTTTTGGGAAAGAAGCCAAAATGCTACTTCAGCATTTCAACTGTAGCACAAATATAGTATTATCAAACATTTGTTAAAAATCACTTTTATAAGAAAGCTATTCAGATGCTTTACATTTTGAATTTATGCAATTATCTTTCTAGAGAGTACTGAGAATATCAAAGCTATTAACCACTATTATTCTAAAACCTTTGGAAATATACCAGTTACAACAAAAGAACCAATACTGACAATTTCCCCACAAAACTAAAAGCAGATCATCATGAATGTCACTGAAGGGCACTGCAAGAGCAACTTCCAATCTAAGCAAGAACCAAAGGGTCTTACAATTGGAGAATATTCTGTTCTATTTAGGTACAACAGCTCAAAGGAAACTACTGCTGTTTAAATATAGCTACCCTTAGCAGCTCCCCATTTCAGCTACCCTTAGCTGAAAGATTTTAGCTCAAACGATTTTTTAAAATATCACAAAAGAAATACATAGCTATCTAAATTTCATTAAGTGAAAAGACAAACCTTCTGAAAAGTATGAGATATACTAGAGTAACAGAATCTTAAGAGGAAGTTTAGTGATTACCTAGTACACAACCTTACTATTCACACAAGTGTAGAATAAAAATGAACAATTGAGGCTGTTGCAGGGGCAGGATGCGAGTAGGGTGGGAAGGTGACCCAGAATTACAGTGTCCTGGTGGCTGAGACAAGATAAAAATCCAGTTAACCTGACTTCCTGTAGTCTGTTCCTTAAAATACTGCACACTGCTACTTCTCTTTAAAATGTTTTTCACTTTTTAGGTAATGTCATTAACAGTAATTCCCATTATATGAGTTTGAATAATTCTATTCTGCATATGTACATATGCATATATATTATTGTGACTGATATTTAAACTCAAATCAAAACTTGTCTTACTGTTTTCATAAGTCATCATCTTTCTTGCTCCTTGTTTATCTTCCTGCCTTTCAAAAATACCATTTCCCACCAGCAATGTAGGAGAGTTCCTCTTTTACCACATCCTCGCCAACATCTGTTGTTGCTAGATTTTTGATATGTGCCATTCTTACTGGTGTAAGGTGGTATCTCATTGTGGTTTTGGAGTGCAACCTGGTCCAACCACTATGAAAAGCTTTATGGAGGTTCCTCAGTCTGCTAAAAATGGAGCTACCATATGACCCAGCAATTCCACTCCTAGGGATCTACGCAAAGGACACAAAAAGAGTGATTCAAAAGACCACCTGTACCCCTATGTTTAATGCAACACTATTTACAATAGGTAAAACCTGGAAACAACCCAAATGCCCAAAAACAGATGACTGGATCAAGAAGAAATGGTATATATACACAATGGAATGCTATTCAGCAATCAAAAAAGATAAATGTCACTCACAGCAACAAGGATGGAGCTTGAAGGAATTATGTTCAGTGAAATAAGTCAGAAGGAATAAGAAAAATATCGGATGGTTTCACTTATAGGAGGAATATAGGGGAACCAAACAAGACATCAGGGGAAAAAATAATAACAATACAAAACAGAAACAGACAATTATAAACCAGAGACATCCTGCAGGGGAGGGGGAGGAAGAGGGATCAGAGGGAGGGAGGGAGGGAGGAGCACAGGGGACTGTGGTGATGGTGCACAGGTGAACTGGTGGAGGAAATTCTATGGGGACTACACCTGTGTGGGGTAAGTAAACACTTTAAAAATGAACAATGATGTAAAATATAAATAAATAGGTTAAAAAATTACTATTTCCAAGGTCCCAGTAAGAATTTAGGTAAGTGCACTAAAATTAAAGACACGCCCAGTTTTTACAAAAACAGAATTCCAAATTTATTTATATTTAAAAGCGTGTTATACAAAGAATATATTAAAGAGATAGAATTGTGGCAGAGTCACTTCTCATTGGTTTCTGAAATGGTATAGGAGAAATTAATCTGGCTTAAGATACTCTCCTAGGGAGTTTCCCTTATTTACCATTCTGCAACCTTCTTCCAACCCTTAGACCCTAGGGTAAAACAAATACAACTGCAAGTGATCAAAACCCTACCTGCATATTAGCACTCATTTGGCATTGCCATTGCTGGCCCCCTCCCTCAGACAGACCTGTTCTACAGATGTGAATAAGTGATATTTGTAAGTCAACAGAGGTCAAGAAATAAGTCTGCAAAAAACAGGAAGGCAGCCAAATTCCCCACAGTGGGTGATAAGCTCTCTATATTGGCAAACTTCTTGAATAATCTCCACTAGCTACCTCTCTCTGATACGCCCAGAAATGAGAAGGGAATGGGATGGAAGAGGAGCGATGGGCTAGTAGTGGGGCTCATTTTACTTCAGGGTCTTATTTTCTATAGGAAATGGTAGATTGCTTTCTATCTGGTCTCTAAAAGTCATAGCAAAATTGAATGCCCTCTCTGCCCTCTTGGGGTATCTCTTCTACCAAAATCTTTGTGGACTCTATCTGAAATATTTCTGGACACGAGTACTGTTTGCTGATATCTAACTGGGAAAAACTGAGGGCAGCAGCCTTGATCTCCTGTGAAGCAAGGCACCGTAAAAAAAAAAAATGTCTCTGAGTACCAGCCTACTTTCTTCAGAGATTACAGATACCTTTCAATATAAACTCAAATTGAATTCAAATAAAACTTATATCATATCAGGGTTTAATTTGTGATAAAAGACTTATTTAAAGTTTATTTGATTAAATTGTGATGTTTTAGATTTATCTTCATTTATGAAACAAAATTTTACCAGACCTCTCTACTAAGTTTTCAAAGTAATTAGCTGTTATTACCTGGTAAAGTCATTTTAAAAAAATCACAAGAAATTTAAAAAATGAAAGTCAAAATTCATCTATAGGGCCTCCCCAGTGGCACAGCGGTTGAGCACTGGGTTGCGAAGCTTCCCGCAGTCTCTGCAGCGCCAGTTTGATCCCCGGCCGCCGGGCGAGGGTCCCACAAGGCTCACAGACCTCTCCCGCTGCCCCCCTCAGCAGTTTACTTCATAGTTCTGCCTGTTCCGCTCCCTGCTCTGACTCTGGTGAATTCTCTCACCCTCCCACGCTTCTGACTGTACCCAGTGCTTGTATGGATAAATAAATAAATCTTCAAAAAATATTCATCTATCTATCTATCTATCTATCTATCTATCTATCTATCTATCTATCATCTATCTATATGCCTATTACTACTTTATGGCCCTTCCAAAAACTTAAAAAAGCAAAATAATTGCCCACAATCACTTTTGTTGTGCCAAATTTCCTTTTTTATATAGAATCTGTAACTTTAATTATTCTAGTAATTCTTAGATACACTATGCAATAAGTTTCTAGCATCACAATATTAAAAATATATAGCTATATCAATTATCTATGGGTGAACTGTTTGCAAAAAATAAAGACTTGTTGAAAGCTACTAGAAGATAGCTCCTCTGATATGAGATAGTACCAGACTGAGCTAAAGATCCAGGAAGCAGATTCACATGGGAGGCAAGTAAACAGAAATCCAAGATAAAGAGAAATCCAAGGAAGAAGTGCTGCTGTACAGCCAGCATACATTAAGAGGACAGAGAGCTCTAGGAAGAGTTTCCCCAAGAGATAAAAATGAAACAGATTATCTGACATCTTCACCTATACAGAGAGGACTTTTAGAGTTCTGTTGAGGAGTTTGTATATTAATTAATGGTACTTAAGAGGAATACTAGGTTAATGGGGGAAAGGAGACAGTTATTAATGTCAGGGAAAATGAAAGCTTAATCCAAAAATATAGTCTATTATTCACTTTCATATACTCATCCTGCTGTACCAAACAATTCAAATCTATGATAAAAGCATTGATCTGAATGAAGCTTTTACACCTGAAAGACCTACCTTAAAACCAGACTCTGAAAGAAATCTTAAAAATAAGTATCCTGACTTTACCCTTGAAAACATGACTAAGACTACGTCAAGGCAGTGTGTTGCATTCCTGGCAGTAAGTAATAACTCAGTTTTACTTTATCAACAGGAAATGTGTTGGTGTTGGTGGGAGTAAGCATTCAACAATGTGCTTATCAAAAAAAAAAAAAAAGCAACAAACAATTGTTCTGGAATGATAAGGAGAAACAGCAGGTAAGGGGTAACACAAGAAAGTGAAATCCTTTGGAAAACAATCAGCACATTTAGTTTACTATAAATTAAATCCTCCCATCAATTCTTTTCTGGAGATAACTATTTCATAGGGAAAGAAACTAGAGCAGAGAACCAATAATATCAGTATATTTAAGATAAGAAAAAGAAGATGAAATAAAATATTCACATATAGAACATGTATAGTTCATTTTATTAATCTGCTTAATCTTAAATTTATTATATTAAATAACACATAATTCTGAGACTCACATTCAAAACATGTTTGAAGATTCAAAGCCATTTTATATATTTTTCAAACATAATTGTTTAAAAATAAATGTAAATAAAATAACTTATTGTAAGATTATAGAAAGGATTATAATGATTTTCAGTAGAATAATGACTTGCCACCTAAGAAACATGCTTGTCCTACTCTGTCAGACACTGTTTGCCATATTCCTAAACTCCACAAAAGAACCAAATGATTCAGCAATCTGACCATGTGTAAAACAGCTATTACTGGAACTATTTTTAGAGCAGCCTCCTGCAGAGGAATAAGGAAGAAGGAAGGTAAAGAGATAGAGGTTTTGGCATACATCAAGTAGGACAAAGATGACTATA